TCGGAAGGAGAGCAAGGCTGTTCCTGCGAGGCAGGAAGAGGCCCTTCTCGCAAAGCGGGATGATAGACGAGACATTCGACCCTGATGAAGGCGTAGCCTGCGAGGCCGTGTGGTACGATTACATGAAGCTCCCGGAACTAGGCCAGCGACCGGGGCATAGATATGAAAACAAGTGCAGGGTCACTTCCATTAACATTGACGGAAGCGTGCTGATCGGCAGTGATGCTGCCCTCATGGACGACGGCAATGCGGTCCACCGCAGTGGGCCCGTCGACGGCATATTGGGCATATTCATTGTTCTGGACCGTGAGCCCAGTGATCAGCGTAAGCCAACCTTCCAGGACGTATTCGGTGATGTCACGGGAAATCACGGATCCAAGGTGGATCTTCACGTTCGCAATGACATGCTCAGCCGCTTTAAAGTGCTAATGAGGGAGAAGATCATCGTGAAGGGGTGCAACGATGGTAGCAGGATATCGATTGATCGATACATTGCATTCTTCGGGAAGAATAAATTCGTGACTAAATTTAAGGATTACGGGAATTTGACTGATGGTCGTTACAGTAATGTAAAAGAGAATGCTCTGATGTTGTACATTGTTTGGGAGAGCCTCTGCGGTTATCCCGTGGCTGTGAATATTAACAGCCGTATGATGTACGAGCATTAATAAAATTTTGCATTTTATTTGACACAGTAAGAAATCCCTTATTAAAATGGCAAGCGCAGCTGAACAAAAGAAAAATAAATGGGCCGACATTTGGTTCGGCCGAATTGACTAATTACATGGGGGCTTGGCTCCGAACTTGAAAGTAGCCTGAGGCTGGGCCTTGTTTGTCGACATAACTGTTGATATTGATTGGGCCAATACATGGCCCAACTGCTCAGCCGAGATATTGTAGCCCACTTGGGATGCAGATGGGCTTGGGTCAGATCCACGATCTGAAAGGTCATCACGCTGGCCCAGTCCAATCTCGGAGATTGCATTACGGATCTGGCCCAATGACGTTCCAGGCCCAATTAAGAGATGATTGGTGCTTGGCCTGACTATTGCGGAAGTGGAACGACAAAGTGCAGGCTGCTTGGGAGCATAGTTGCAGTGCCACATGTCCACGTCTTCTTCGGTGAAGAGATCGGACAGTATGTGCACTCTCGGTGATCGGAACTGGACCTTGTCTGGTACTTTAGCGGTTGCTAACTTCATATGCGCCTTTATCTTGCAGAAATTGACTCCACTCTTGATGTTGGAATCTTCGAGCTTGTACTTGGCCACCCACGGACACTTGTCATCGTTCAGGGACGAATACGAAGTGGGCCAGATCAATATGGCCTGCGTAGTAATTGTGGGCCTGAGAATTGAGACTTCTTGCCCAGCATGTTTTACCAGTCCGACTTGGGCCTTCTATTATTATGGACATGGGCCTGTGTGGCCTGTTACCAGGCCCAGTAACATTTGAGAGAGAGAGAGAGAGAGAGAGAGAGAGAGAGAGAGAGGAATATCCAATTCAACTAGATGAACCTGAGGTTTAAGATTTTTGGGCTTTTGTGGGTGTACATATTTGAAACGCTATGTTCATAGTGTCTTAGGTTGGTTATTAGTTGAAAATTTGAAATTGAATTATCGGTATAAGTTAAATTTTAGTAATAACTTCCTTGCAATTTCGTTGTAGTATTTATCTCCTTGCAACGTCTGGCACAGGTACCATCCTCGTAAAATTTTATGTTGGTTAAGAGTCGAAATTGATAAATTGGTTTAGTTTTATAATTTGATTTATATCCCTACTTTAATATGTTACTAATTACTACAACCTGTTATAATGTTGAAAAGCCCTCAAGGATTTAAACCTTGCACTCACTAAAACAAAAAAGTAAATCATCTTCAAAAATCACGTCCCAGGACCTACAATAGTTTGATTGTTGTCTTGGAGTGGCACATAACAAGGAATCGCTTTTTTTCTTTTTGTATTTGTTTTCTCCATTTCAATTGGTAGTATTTCACTTCAAGAGTTGGTCAAAGACTCAAAGTATACAAGTTATCTAGCACATTAAAACTTTTATCTAATATCTAGCAAATCAAAACTTGTCGTTTCATGGAGAAATCTTTCAAAACTGTACACATTTTGTCAAATACATTTTTTTGTTCTTCATTTGAAAATATTAATTTTAAATTTCTTACAAATTCAAGTAAGCAAAATTTTGTCCTAACCTAAGTTTCCGTCACTTTTTAGTCTAAAATCACCATGTGATTCACATGCAATGATTTTTATACATAAAAAGATCAGATTTCACTCTTTTTTAGCAATATTGAATATGAATTGAGTCAGATCTTACTTTTTTTAAGGAAAAATATGAATACGGTTCAGGTCAAATCTTACTTTTTTTTAGTGGTAAAAATGAATATGAACCAGCTTATCTATTTAACTACAAATGGGATCTAACTTTTTTGTCCATAAAAAAATGACTTCGGGTGGAAAATGTGATGGATTTAAAGTAAAATCTGTTAAAAAATTTAGGTTGAAACTAAATTTTACTTACTTAATTTTGTAAATAACATAAATTATTATTTTAAAAGGGAAGGATAATGTTTATTTAGTGAAATGTGAGAGATATTTTGCCAGATTTTCCTTACTTTATCATGCGGTGGTAGCTAAGGACGAATCTTTTTTCTTTCGTCCAATTTCTCTACTTGGGAATCTAGCACAGCAACCTGGTCCCCTTATTACCCGGCCAACAATTTAGAATCTCCGCCATGGCACCACGCAAAATCAATGGTACACAACAGCCCAAAACCATCTTGAACATTTTGGAAAAAAAAAAATGTTTGACAGACTATTGGAAGAGATAGAAGTCAAGGTCGCAGCAAATGAAGCTTGGAAAGTCTATGGAACCCTTCAACTGGGAAATCTTCATTGAAAAAGTGGAGATATCAGAGTGAGATGGAGGGTGCAGAACGATACTCAAACTTGGCCTTCCTGGTAATGGTTTGCTCTCTTTTTACTTTTGGAAATAAAAGGACCTATCTACAATGTTTTCCTACTTAAGTTGTAATACTGGTATGTATATTTTTGTTTGTATATCTTTTTTAATTTTTTTTAATATTACTCAAGTCAAATCATTGTGATTACTACTTTGCCCTTCAAGGGCAAGGGCACAAATGGTTGTTGTAGGCAACTGTAATTTTGAGAATCAAGGGCCGAAATTGGCCAAAAAAATGTTTTGATAACTTTATGGCCACGAAGCCTGTATTCTGCTCTATTAATTAGCAAAATATATGAAACCACTACATTACCGTAGGAAATTCCTATTATGATCGTTTGTTTATACAACTTGTGATTTGTTTATGAAATAATAATAAGGGATAATTTTAGAGACCTCCCTCGAGTTGACGTGTCTGACTATTTTACTAGTTCCTGTATGTTTCAAAAATTGTATTGACCTCCTTTGATGTTTATTGTCTTATAATACCTAGGTCCAATTAGCAATTAAAAAGCAATATTAGGAAAGAGAAAATAACATGATTCCATCGTTGCCCTCATCTAGTATATTATTTAGTTAATTTAATACCAAACCACACATTAAAAAAAATATTAGAATTTACTGTTTATCATCAGGTATCAAATCACATATAGTATCAAAAAATAGTATGTCATTTTATATATTTCACTTAATATAAGATCTAAATTATTCTTTTCAGTTAAAGACCCATTGTCAAAGGCGATCAATAACAAATAATAAAAAATCTGCAACCAAAATATCACAAAGAGTAAACTTTAATACCATAAAAATCTTAGTAACTAAGTTTAATATATTGACATGGATATTTATGATGTTAAAGTTTGCTCTCTGTAATGTTTTGGTTGCAAAATTTTTTTTTATTATTTGTTGTTGATCATATTTGACAAACATGTATGTGACTGAAAAGAGAAATTTGGATATTGCATTAAATGAAAAATATAGAATGATATACTATTTTGATGCTATATGTGATTTGATTCCTAATGATAAATAACAAATTTTAGTATTTTTCTTTAATGTATGAGTTGGTATTAAATTAATTAAATAATGTAATAGATGAAGGGCAATGATAGAATCATATTATCTTCTCATTTCTAATATCAATTTTTAATTACTAGTTGGACCTAAATATTAAAAGGTAATTAACATCAAAGGAGATTTGTGTAATTTTCAAAACTTAGAGGGAAGTCAAAGAAATAGTTAGAAACCTTGGGAGAGGTTTCTAAAATTATCCCTAATAAATTCTACAACTTTAGCCGATTCATAGTAGCGGTGACCCACGAAGTGCTCATTCTACCAATGCGCTATTATCATATGGTAACCTCTTCTAATCTAACAGATAATCAAACTATTATCAAGTAGTCATGTATTCTGGTCTAGCAATTAATCACTAGAATATACCGTAAACTCATTAACTTGAAATCGAGCTTATGTTCTAATAATTCTAAACAGAATTTTGATATTTGATGACTGTTACAAACAATTGACAATTAGAGAGAAATTAGTTGGGAAGGAGATGGTACGAAGAGAGAAAGTGTAACTAAGAGATCACCGAGTTTGAAACTTTTCATTTACATTAAAAAAAGGAGGAAAAATTAATTATAATTAAACAGTGAGTTGTTGTTTCTTAATTAACACAATGGCAACAAAAAGTGCACGTGCATGGCCAGTGTGAGGTGCCAAATTTTGTACTATCATTCAATAAAAGTTTTTCTTTTTCTTTTTCTTTTTTTTTGGGTATGAAATACCTAGATCCAGAATTACAATAGTAATTGCAGAGAACAATTTATAGTAGTAGATGAAACTATTTAAAACTGGGTAGTTAAGATTGAATTTATGGGTATGAATTTTAACAAGTGACAAAAGTTGTTGCGTTTTTATAATATTATTATTGACTCAATTTTTACATATTGATTAATGTCATACCTGCATCAATTATATTGGGATCCACATTGCTGGGTACACATCCGCGGCAAGACTGCCCGCGGCGTAAAAGTAGTACCAGAAACTGAACTGACTACGTGTAAGCTTTCCAACCATGGTCACATATTCTTCACTCTCCCATCCCATAGCTTCCCCATTCATCACACTAAGAAAATCAGCGACGAAAGTTTCATTTCTACTGCTTCTTCTCAAACAACCATTTCCAAGAAACTGCAAATTTGTTGCAGCCATGCACTCAAATTCTTCCGGAACAATGGCTGTTTCAGTTCCAGGAGTAAGTCCCCAAGAAATGGTCGCCATAGCTCAGGAAACCTTCCGGAGATGCACGTCATCGTCGTCTTCTGGTTCTTCATTGCCTGAGAGGAGAGGCAAAGGGGTGGCCATTTTTTGGTTCAGGAGTGATTTGAGGATATTGGACAATGAGGCTTTGATTAAGGCCTGGCTTTCATCTCAAGCTCTCTTGCCTGTCTACTGTGTTGATCCTAGGCTTTTCACCTCCTCCACCCATTACTTTGGCTTCCCTAAAACTGGAGGTATACCTTGTGCTCATTAGGCTGTACCTCTGAATTTCTCCATTAGATTATTCCGTTGAATTATATTTTGTTTAATTATAGTTTGAATACTTAGTTTAGTATCTCCCTTTTGGATCAATATTCAAGTATGGCAATTTGTTTGGACAAAAAAAGGAGTTTAAATTTTTGCCAGGTTCCAATATTGATAATTGTGCACTTAGAATATATACCTTGTGCTCATTATGTTGCATCTCTGGACTTTTACTTTAAATTATACTTCATTGATTTGATAAGATGTTCATTACTTGTCTTGGTATTTCCCTTTTGGACTAGTACTGTAGTATAACAAATTCTTGGATGTCAGCCTAAATCCCCGCCCCTCCATACTAAATCAACACCTTGAACAATTTTCTATGCTAGTTGTACAATGCATCAATGCATCAAATGTGTGGATTTAGGAGGAAGGGATATGGATTTAGCCTCTCCAAAAATCTTTTACATGAGAGTTTAGATCCTTGCCACATGTGAAATAACCAAAATCGTGCAATTGGGAAATGGGCTTATGTCTTGATCATCTAGGCCCGCTAGTGTGGATTTTTTAGCTGGTTTAATTGAATGGTTCACAGTAATAATGATTGAATATGACTTAGTGGTGTGAAGACTCAGTATAGGGATAAGGTGTGCAGCCTCCTGATTGGAGCAAATCTACATTAGTAAACATTTTATTCGGAAGGGATTTAGGAAAATTAAAGACATACTTAAACTTGTAAAAATATTTTGGGCATTTACATATTCTGAGAACTTGTTTATCTTGCAGATATATCCAAATATAACAACCATATAACCTATAACAATGCAAAAGTACCAGGACCTTCTTGTTAATTTTAGATAGATAGAAGATGATTGGACAGCTTGTTGGCAGAAGGAAATGTTGATAGTAACTTCTAGGCTATCCCTATTTTGACTTGTTTTTGTTCTTCTCAGTAAGCGCTTGACTGACCAAATTGTAATTGGAAATTCCATGCCTAGAAATTTGATAGCAAAGGTATATTAGTGATTTTGAGTTCTTTTGACCTTTTTTGGGCAGTTTTGAGGGCTCAATTTCTCATGGAGTCTTTGGCTGACTTGAAAAATAACTTGAAAAGCCGTGGTCTGGACTTGTTGATTAAACAGGGGAAACCGGAGGATATACTGCCTTTGCTTGCAAAAGCACACGGAGCACACACGGTTAATAAGTCTCCATCTTCAATGTTTTCTTTTCTACATCCAATAATTCTTTCAAAAACTATTGTTTCCGACTAGTGCCAATTGATTGATATTTTTACAAGTGTGTAGGTGTTTGCTCAGAAAGAAACATGCAGTGAGGAGTTGAATGTTGAGAGATTGGTTGCTAAAAACTTGAGACAAGTTGACCAGCCATTGTTGAAAGGGTTGTCCACTAAGCCAGAGTCCAAAACTGGTACCAAATTGCAGTTGATCTGGGGTGGTAGTTTGTACCATATTGATGACATTCCATTTGATTGTAAGTGTTTACCAGATGTCTATACGCAATTCCGTAAGGTATCATGTTTCTTCTCATAGGTTAGAGTAGAGACATTTTGCCTGTTAGAACAAATATCTCATGTATTGCTTCATGTGTCTGGATGATGCTTCCTTGTAGTCTGTTGAGTCCAAGTCTACAGTGCGTGCTTGTTTAAAGATTCCAACAACACTTGGACCTCCACCAAATATTAGTGACTGGGGCACTGTTCCTGAAATTACTGAGCTCGGATTTCAGAAGCCAAAGGCATGTTTACTTTCATCTTCACATACATGATGATGCAGCATGTTTAACACACATGTAAGTTCCTTCAGTATTCTTTATTTTGTGCTGATACAGGTGGAGAAAGGAATGAGATTTGTGGGTGGTGAAAGTGCAGCTCTAAGTAGACTACACGAGTACTTTTGGAAAAAGGCAAGAAATCTTTGTTGGATAGGAATTTTGAGTTATGTTTTTCCTATGAGGATTAAGTTCAAGGCTATTTTGTGGTGCTAAGCAAGACCTTGTATCAATTGGAAGTCATTTAAGATATTCCACTGTTTACTATTATGTTGCACTTAATACCTTAGAAACCACTAACGTTGAATTCTCAAGTTTGATAACTTTTGTCTGCAAATTCAAGTTCTAACGGAATGTAAGTGAAAGTAATCAAATTATGAGAGTGTGGTGTTCAAACATCATCGTATATTCCTGTAGGATCTGCTGAGGATATACAAAGAAACTAGAAATGGGATGTTAGGTCCTGATTACTCAACAAAATTCTCTCCTTGGCTTGCTGCGGGAAACCTTTCTGCTCGTTTCATTTATGAGGAGGTATAACATTATTTACATTCTTAGTAATGGGCAGTGATAATATCAGTTTAATTCATAGTAAAATCATGTTCTCCATTTATTTTAAGGTAAAGAGATATGAAGCTGAGAGGCAATCAAATAATTCAACATACTGGTAACTAGATCTCCTCTATATTTCTTCCTTTCTTTGTGTATTTCAATGATTACATCGGGAATTGCATGTAAGTTAATGAACATATGTGGACAAATTAAATCATACCTTTCAAGATTTCCTATTTATTTTGAGTAAATTAAGCAATGAGCTGAATGGTTTCTAGGGACTTCTCTCTGGAACAATTGAGCTCCCAAGCTAGTATTCTCAAACTTGCAAGTCCAATCAAATAAGTTTTGGAACCTGACGTGGGTCTGGAATGCCACAATCCAACGAGAGTGGACTTTCTTTACTTGTTTAATTAATTTGTAAAAGTTGTATGGGTTTGAAGAACAAAATAGTCATTGCTGTAAATTGATGGCTTTTGAGGGGTTATAGTAAAGCCCTCACTGCTTCAGCTATCAAAAAGTCAGTTAAACAACTTGACCACTGAAGAAGGCAAAGGCTGGGCAAGAGACTTGGCCAATGCCATGCCATGATTTCCTTTCAAGTATAAACTGAAGCTCTAGATTGAGAAAAACCAGAAAAAATTATCAAAGATATTCTTCCTAGAATTATTTGTGGGGAAACTGTGCATAGAGTATTTGTTACCTTTCATGTAAAGTCATGTACGCTATTTACTGTTTAAATTATGTCAGTCTTTGAAAGACGTATGCTTCTATTTTCAACTTACATGTCTTTGAATTAAAAGATGCACCTTAACTACACTAACATCACTCAGTGTGTTCTTGCAAGGACTATTTGTTATACTTTGTCAGTTTATTATTTTGTTGTCTACCTTGATGCCCATTTGTACCTCAAAAAGGTCCGCACGTGTTGAAAATTGTAATAGTGTATATATTCCAAGAGGAAAATAAATCTCTTTATCATTTTTCTGATATAATTTTAATGTGTTCAGGGTTTTGTTTGAACTGATATGGAGAGATTACTTCAGATTTTTGTCTATTAAGGAGGGAAACACTCTCTTTAATCCAGGTAAAATGAGGTGCCATTTCTAAGTGATTGATAAAAATAAAAAATGCTTCCAGTTCTTGAATTTACAACCTAGCTCAGGTAGCTGCATTCTTCTGAAACTTGTGTAAAATTTTCTAATTTAATCAAAGTTATGCAGTTTGTTTACTTTTTCTGCATTCAGGTGGGCCCAGAAAAGTTGAGGTTAACTGGAACCAAGACAGCATTCTTTTTGATGCTTGGAGAGATGGTCATACTGGGTATACTTTCTATCCACTGCTTTGGTTGTGGCCACTAGATGTTGTGGAAAATCACATTTCTATGCTCAAATTGGACAGCAGATCTCTTTCTCTCCTTCATCCCTTTAAAAAGAAAAATAAAAGGAAAGTACAGGGAAATCGATATGTTGATCTTGATCAAGATAACATATGCTAACTTACCTTTTATGTTGTATTGACTCATTTTCTAATGTTGCTAAAAACTAGGTACCCTCTTATAGATGCAAATATGAGAGAACTGTCAACTACAGGGTTCATGTCAAATCGAGGCCGGCAGGTACTAACATACACTAAAGTTATAGTTGAGTGATTCTGGATTGCTGCTTTGTCACGTAGAACAGTAGTAATTAGTAAAACGAAAAGACCATCCCATCTTTTGATAGTAGAGTAGCAGTTGCCTTACAAAATTCTCATTTGAACTCAATCTTGAATTACGAACCTATCTTTTCAATTTATATCCTGCCACAGATTGTATGCTCCTTTCTTGTTCGAGACATGGGCATTGATTGGCGAATGGGAGCTGAATGGTTTGAATCATGCCTTTTGGACTATGATCCTTGTTCCAATTATGGTAACTGGACATATGGTGCAGGTATTTGTTTTCTGAGTATTACACGTTTATCTTCATGAAATTTTTTTTGTGGTTTGATATTTGAATAAATGGCCAAAATAGTACTAAACTATCTAAGATGATGCGAGTTGGTCACCGAACCTTTTTTGTGGTCAAAAGGGTCGCTCAATACCCTAAAACGAGCCTTTAGGATCATTTCGAACAATTTAGCCAGTAAACCAGCTAGAAAAAAGCAAACTTGACCCACTGTTGTAGGTTTTCAAGGGTAAAAATGTCCTATTCTGATTGACATAATTTTTCTTTAAACAAAAATCAAACTTTAGGGGTTAATCCATATTTTGGCAAAACTTCATAGGAGGTAAATATAATTAATACAAAAAATCACCAACACATCATCTTCTTCCTCTTCCTCCTCCTCCACCTTCACTGTCCACTGCCACTGTTGCATTACCCACCACCGCACCCTCTCTCCTCCCCTCTCATCCCCTCCTTTCACCCATTTCCCCTTCCCTCCCCCCTTCCGCCGTGACCAGATCTGGTCGCTGTGATCCAAAAAAAAAAAAGTACCCACAACATCAGTTTCTTCTTCCTCCTCCACCACCATCACCTACCCACCCACCCAGCCACCACCACTGTTCTTTTCAACCAAATCAGAGCCAATTATTAATGAAATATTATCCGATGATTGGGCTTAAGAGTTTGAAAAAGAGCTATCAAATTTAAATCCAAGATTGACCCATGAAACTGTTTGTATATTCCGATGAAATTAGGTAAAGACCCAGAAAAAGCTTCAAGCATTTACTCAGATTTTATGCTAAGAAAAAGCTTCTGATGAAATCAGGCCAAGTACTTCTATTTATGGTTTCATGCTGAGAATTTATGCTTAAAATCATTCAATGAAGGAATTTTGGGTGGTTATTAAAGAAACGAAAGAAAATGGTTGTCATATTGATGAGGATACATATACAAGAATTTCCTCAGATCTTCGAAATTCAAAATTGGTTAATGATGGGACTGCTCTGAAGCATTTTTATGAGAGAATGATGCACTACGGAGACAGTTGTGCAAAGGGTGGTTGATGTGGTCTGATTGGAGTGGTGAATTGGAGAGAGAGTTGGGAGGAGATGAGGTTTTCAGTATTTGTGGCACATGACAATAATTCCACAATTGAAATTATACAGCCAAATATCAATCAACTAAGAAGCGGCTCAAAACTGTCCGTGTTCCTTTTGTTGTCATGGAATTCTCTGTTGGTGGCGAGTGGTCAAGGGGGGAGGAGAGAAGGAAGTTGTAAGGAAGGTGGCGGAGGGGTAAGAGGAGAGAAAGAGATGGCATTATTTGGACATTTTTGCCCCTGAAAACTTGTAATTCCAGTTAATTTACCAAAAAATGATTCTAAAGGCTCATTTTAGGGGGTTGAGTGACCTTTTCGGCCACAGAAAAAGTTCAGTGACGAGTCGTGCCATTTTAAATAGTTTGGTTACTATTTTGACCATTTACTCTTGATATTTTATGTGTCCATCATAATTGAAAAAGGTTAACTTTGTTAAGGGAAAAATAGAATGAGCTATTCTGATTTAGGACAGTTTTTAGCAAGGAACTTGCAAGCATTCTTCTTCAGACAAAAGCTGAAGTTTCTGGCATTTTAATTCACTCAGCTGTGATTTCAATGATAAAAGGATTTTTCTGATGTTTGCCACTGGGGAGTTGTTGATGCATACAATATGCCATCTAAGCCCACACTCTCATTTATTACTTCCCTTTCTTTTAGTCACTTTCCCTATTAAACTTCACTTTTCCAAAAAAACTAACACTGTACGACACCGTTCACCTGTGCCTACTGGCCAATGTTTAGACATACCTATGGTAAAACAGGATCATCGAGGTAGATATAAAGTAGGACAGGAAAGTGGAAGAATATTTTCTAGTTTCTGGAGATGATGTTTTAGCTTTTGACAGTTCCAGTTATACATTCTTTATTGGTTAAGTGCACTTAGCAGCATTCTTACAATTAAGGATGATGAGGTACATTTTGAGAGGTCATCTTACAGAAGCAATGAATGGCCAAGTAGGTCTTAGGTGTTTCTGTTTCCAAGGCTGCATCAGGTGTCAAACCTGCAGACTAGAGAGACTTGGCCAGGCTAATATGGCTCTCCAAATTACAATATCAGCTCTTCCACATCTCCGTTCGAGGTGTATATTACAGAGCAAAATGTATCACTTGCCCAATAGCCTTATTAGGACTTCCTCTACTAGATGTGCATATATGGGATTCCTATACATGGTTGTTACAGATTAAATTGTCAAGGACTCCTGGTGGGTGAGGTTCAAATTTAGTCTCTCATCAAGGACTATGACTAAGTATCAAACTACTGCTAGAAACTAAGGAAAACAATGGTTATCTCCATGTTTTCTCCACTTCATTGCTGTCCTTTCAGTTATCTTGTGTTATGGAAAAAGTTTGTGAATGTGGCTTTTGAAATCCAACCATTAGCATGGATCCTTTTTTCTTTATTGTTTGGTTCAAGGGAGATTCCAAGCCTTACAAGGGGAAAGGGGAAAGAGGAGGACTTGAGCATGGAACCAGGGACCTTACTATTACCTGACCAATGTCCCTACTAGCTGAACTGGGTCTTGGGACAAGCATGTTCTTCTACCTATACTGCACAGAGATTAAACAATTAGGTTGAAGTGGTTTGACTTTATTTCTACAAAAATCGTGTTGGTGTACTTGATGTAACTCGTGCATGGATAGAGACATCAAAGCAAACATTGACATACATAGTGTGTAGGATATACATTATCCCGCATCATAAATATTTTAGCATAATCCTATAGATCTTGTATTGGTTTGTTTAGGAATTTCATCTATGTGATGAAGCGGTCTTAATATCAAACACAGACCCAGACATTATGTTCTTTTACTTTGTGGTTTGTATTTTCTTTTGTGCAGTTGTCAGTTTAGCAAATGTTCTGCCTATGGTTCATAACAAGGGTTCAACCCTTTTTTTTTTTTTTAATAAATCCTGCTTTGGCTAAAATGTGATTTCATGTTGACCACTGAAAGAAGAAAAGAAGAATCTCACTATGCCTCAATGGTAGATGTTCCCAAAATATTTTGACTGACTATTTTAGTTCTGAAAAGTTCTATTAAAAGTAGGCTGGATTTTCCCATTTTTCCACTCCCACTGTGGCACAACCAAAACCCCATGTCATGCTTGTTATACGAAAAAGCATAGAAGAATTTCTGTGAAATTCTGTACAATGTTAGAAAAGTTGTCTATACTGGTGCTGGGTTTCTGATGATGGATCAAATTTCTGTATTTATGCAATGTCTTGAAGAAGTTTAAGTACAGTGCATTTCCAAGAAAATTAATGCTTTTTATTTGGACTTCAGTTTGAGGAAAACTATGTGAATCAAAATTGAAGTAGAATAAAATTCTCAATTTTGTTATCCTTTCATGATTGGGAGAGTGTGAGTGCTGGAACAATGTTTTCCTGGATTTTTTCATATCGTAGCATATTAATAAGATTAATTAAGATTTCTTTATTTCTAATGACAAGTGACTAAAGAAAAAGTTTCTATACTAGCATTTTTCCTCTTTTTGTTCTATTTACCTGAGAAAAGCTATTTTCTTCACTTATGCAAAGGCTTGGGGCAAGATCATAATCATGAAAGAAGTAATCTCCAATGGTTTTATATAGATGGAAAGGTGAGAGGGATAGTAAGCAGGAGGTCTTGGGCTCAAGACCTCCCACTTACCCAAAAAAAAAAGGTTTTATATTATCAAATCAGTTTTTTCAGCATCACAAGTAACTAAAATGGTCATATATAAGTGATGAATTGATTTATGCTCCTTTGACTTTCCAGTCTTGGGAAGAATTCTTAAACTAGATGGCCAAGCAACCAATCTTTGGAAGGTTACAGTCTTGCTCTAGCCTGCCTATAGCTTTAGTTTGATTACTGCAGTGAATTTCTTTTTCAATACATTGTTTAGCCTCCTAACATGAAGCTTCCTCCATCCTCAATTGCAGGATATGTGATGCTTTGACTTCCTCTAGTTCCTGCTGCCTCCATAGTTGCAATAGGAAATTATGGTGGCATTGTCTTTTCTTCCTTCAAATGATTTTTTGCTTATAATTGCTCTTCACAAATTTTTCATAGCCACTTAGCCATTAGGAGCTAGTCAATTTTAAGCATATTTCTCACTGGATCTCAAGTACACAAAGGAATTTAAGTTTTAAGTTCATGCTATCTGTCCTTAAGGTATATGTACTTTTGATCAAATTCCAGGAGTGATTATAACCAAGATGGGAAGTTTGCCAAATTTGTTTTAAGAAAAGTAATTTTTCCTCCTTTTGACAAGTAAACTTTTGCATGTTGCAAGTGTGAATTCTTTTCAAAATACCATTGGACATGATTTCATATTTGTGCTTCAACTAAGGTGGGCTGGGTGGAGTTTTTCCTGTTTTCCTCAAATCTCTTTCGATGGTTGATTCCCTTCGAATGTGCAACCTTTGAAATGGCTTACTAGTTGACAAACAACAAAGACCAGCTGAGAAAAATTAATTATGATATTCCAACCAGACATCCAACATTGAAACTCAATGGAGTATTTTCAGCAGAGGAAGATAAAGTTTTCTTTTTTTCCTGTCTCCTTTAATTCCAGCAAATGTCGACTTTCTTTGGCCCTGTCAGCATTCTGCTAAAACCTTTTGCTATAGTGATGAAGGGTAGAGATGGGCCTCCTTGTATGCTTTAGAGCTGAGGAGAAAATCTCATAGGAAATCCATTTGGTAACAACTGAGGGATGGTTACAGCAAACGCTTTCCTGTGCAATCCAGTCTGTAAAATTATATTCTCAACAGTGGATACAAAAGAAAATCTCCAATGATTTAGTCTTATTGAGTTCTATTTTCACAGAATTAATCTGGTGCATTTTCTTATCCTTAGTTACACATTGATTCAAATGCTGTAAAGCCTCAGGAATTTGCTTTTTTCTCTTTAAAAGGAAACTGATGTTAACATAAAGCTTCCCAATTATCTCTTTGGTCCATAATGCATGCATTTTGGAGACAATTTTGGCAGTGTGCTCAGCAGGCTAATGGGTCCAAGTTTCTTGATGTCAGAATCCAGTGTCCTGCTGTTCGGATGAACCAGTTCACTATAACATTGATTTTTTATCACTTAAATAAGATTTTGTACAAGTGCTCTTATTACACAATGTCTCTCTCTGACCCTCTGTCCCTCTCTCCCTCTCTCCTGCCTAAGCTTTAAAATTTGTACGTAGTATTGGTATAGTTAATGTCCAATCGCCCTCTGCTTTACCAACTGCATTCGTTGAACATGTTTGAGGTGTCTGTTTGCTGCCAAAAGGTTCTTGATGCAGGCAACTTTTGTGATTTTTCATGCGGCAAAGGTTCTCTTCATCAAGTTTGAATCTCTTCATCAAGTTTGAATTGTTTTTCTTGTTAATATGGTTCAAAACCCTTAATTTTTTTGTGAACATTCTTCTAGAGTGGCATCCTACATTTGTGGTTTTCTCTTTCTGCTATGCATATAGACTTGCAAATCTTATGCTTAGTTTCTGCATTCTTTTCATTAAGGTGTTGGGAATGACCCGAGAGAGGACCGCTATTTCAGCATTCCCAAGCAGGTTAGTTCTTCAGAATTTTCAAATACTTCAGTTGAATTATGCATAGCTGGTGTTTCAGCCTTATGGGTTGCTGTTCCACTGTGTGTTAATTGTCTCACCCACAAGAAAAAAATAGAAAAAGCCAACAGTTTGATTATCATATTTTTTGTTGTATCGGGACTTGTGTTTTCTTAAAATGGCAAACACTCTCACAGACAATGACATTGTTGCGTTTGACAAAATGAAGTCGCAGTTTGCTCTTTGTTGGTGGGAAATTTCCCAAGATAATTGACATTTAAACCCAATTTACAATTTTCTGAATGTAATATTCATGATGAAAGAAAATGACTTCAGTGACGCGTACAAGCTTAGTTAAAGTCATGGTTTGAGACCTTAGGCAATAAATAAAGTTTATGCTTCTAAAATAGTTCACATCTAGTGCAGAAGAGGCATCGTTCTCACCCAACAAGCAACTAATAAAACTTGACATTTGGAAATTAACTTGTCTCAATGTCAATAAATGAAGCTTAATTGGTCTAATATAGTAAGGATTCTAGATTTCAAACTCAAGGTGAGGGCTATTACCAAAGTAGTGGAGAGTGGCTGATTAGTAAAATCACATTGTGGAACTTGGTCTTTTTACACAATGATGTGGAAGAGAGGCATAGAGTGGATAAGAAATGATAAGAAAGCCTGCTGTTACCTCTTTTAGGTTATAAAAAGAATAGGAGAGAAGAGAAGTGTCAAATCGTGAATCCTCTTAGTTGGTGGAAGCAAATGTTAGAACAGAAGATGAAGGACACAATAACTAAGATGGTTGCGACCTTTCATTTTCATTCTTCACTTTCCCCCCCGCAAGTTGCAGACAATGGAACTTAACTTTTATTTTCCTTGGCATCCTTCATTTTTTCCACATAATGTCTCCTGTTCTTTTATTTTTCACCTGGCTTGTGTTCTTTTATTGTTTCTCCTGATTAAATTTCTCTTCCTTTTGTTTCTCTGTTAAGACTCCAAAGATACATGTTCAAATGCCATCTCATTCTGAAAAAGTTGAACCCATGGCTTAGTTTGAAAAAAATATATATGAGACAAATTATGTGGGTTTTCATCATCATGAGACCTTTCCTTTTTGTTTAGATATTTACCAAATCCAGCTGGATTTCAGTTTTATCTTGTTTATAGGCTTCCATATGTTTGGTCATGTAAATGAGATATATGTTTTGGTGTGTCATTTTCTTCTAAAATTAGCTTAACATTTTACCAAATAAATGCTGATTAGCTAATTGTCTACATATGTACAGATGACACTTATTGTTCAAACATGCAAAACTGAAGGACCCGTAAGGAAAGTGAATTAAGGTTTATATGTCATGCATGCCCCTCCCCAAATGTGTCTATAGCTTTTCAAGCCATATATGAAGAGGATTCATACTGAAGAGAATTTCTGGCTTATAGTTTTAGCTTTTTTGGTGAAATCAGTTTGGATTTAACATTAGGGACATTCGGAAACTTCAGTATTCTAAAGAATCTGTTTCAGATTTTTCGAGTTGATATTCAGGCTACGAAATCTAGTCAATTATCATGCTCTCTTAGTGATGAAGCTAAATCACATGATTTGTTGCGTAACTACTGCATAAGCTGCAGCTTGTCATAGCTGGTTTATAGAGTTTATGTTCTTGTTAACACAAGTATTATGCTTCAACTGTCCATTTGATGTAATGGTTGACTTGGCGATGCAGTTTTGGTTTGAAACCCACCAGATGGCCCTCTTGTTTTACTCTGTTTCCAAACTGTTTACGGTGGATCTGCAGTCATTCTTTTGCTGAATACTTGCACGGATTTTATATGAAGCTTTATTGTCCTTCATGTAATCAAAATGAGATTCTTGCTTACGTTTCATATCCAGAGATCTTTAAAACAGCAAATTTTGATGTGGATTAGCAGCTTATTGTGGCTGGAACTCATTATATGACTCAAGAGAACAAACTTTTTGAGTCATAATTTTTGGAAAGCTTTCAGGGCATTTGACAGGTTTCAAGGGATCTAAAAACAATTTTAAGTCTGCAGTGGAAGTCTGAACTTTCCTGGTGGGTTGAGGGAAAAAAGATAAAAAGTTTCACATGACCTTTATTATTAAATACTCACTACAGATTTCAGTAGAAAGAATCTCAATGTTTTCATCCTAATGAAATAGGTATTTTGTTGATTATTTAACTCTAGAAACACAATTTCGTTGTCAAGTAAAGGACTTTAAAATTTCACTTTTCACGTAAGTTAATTGCTGGATTCATTGTGAAGTGAAATGATACACTAGAATATAATTTGCCTACAACACTTGTAAGAATTATAATAGAGTAGTTCTGCCTGTCTGCGTAAACTTAGCTGTGTATGTGCTTATTTGCATTTGCATATGTTTTATTATCATCTGAATTCTACAATTCTTCATCTTCTGTTTTGGTTTGAACCAATGAAAGGAAGCTATTTAGGAAACAATGAGGTTGACATAGATGCAAATAATCTTTTAATTGCATTTGTTCGTTCACCATATGATATTTTGTTTTACATGATATAGGCTCAAAATTATGACCCTGAAGGGGAGTTCGTAGCTTACTGGTTACCAGAGTTGCGAGCACTGCCAAAAGAGAAAAGGAATTTCCCAGGACATTTGTACATTAAACCGGTTGTAGGCCTCAAGCATGGGGGCAGCAATAAAACCAGTTCTAAGACAAGAACTGCTGGGCGTGCAAAAACATGGAAGTGATTTGCAAGACAAAGGGATGAGTTAGAATTTGCTCATGAACTGGCTTGTTGACTTTTTTTCTGGAAAGGACTATAGACAATTATATATATATAGGATCAAAAGATTTACACGTGAAGGGTAAGTAGCTTTTAAAGTATGCCATGGGGGGAGCAATGTTCGCACATAACATCATATTTAAGCTTGAAGACAACTTTTCCCACGCTATGACTAACAAGATTACTTTGCCTTCTAACAAAAGAAAACCTACTCACTTCAAAACCTTCTCTCAATCGATCAATGTCCAGTAGCAACCCATTGAGATAACTGCTAGTCTCAGTGCCCAAGCTTCCAGGTATGTTGCCTCAAGCCTAAAGTAGAGTTGATTAGCCCAGATTGTGATTATTTTTCCATCGCCGTCCCTTGCCACAATCCCACAACCTGCTTTGTTAATTTGAGGTTGGATTGCTGTGTCAACAATTTAGCTTGATGAAGGCTGGTGGTGGGGAAGTCCAGGTTGCTTCCGTGGTGTTCTCCACGGTTCTTGGACATTCTTGTACTCCATCTTCAGAGCCTTCCTGTATTCCCTCCATTATCTGAATGTCTTGTCCACCAAGAATAGAACCGGTGAGCTCTTGCTGTCAAAGTTCTCATTTCTGGCTTTCCGAAGTTGCCACAAGAAGTTTGCAGTCGGTTCAATCTTGTTCCCTACCATTAGGTCTTTCCATTGCTGATTGCTGCCTTTCCCATCATCTCCAAAAATTCCACCTATCATCCCAAAGTCAATCCTATTGGATAGGGAAGATTTTCCAAGCAAGCTGTACATTGCTACAAAAAACCAGCATATGATCAATAGTTTCTATCTCATATCCACAGCATCTACAAATCGGATCAACCTTCTTTGTTCTTCCACTGATGACCTCATTAGTTGGGATAATATTGTTCAGGCATTTCCAAAGAAAGTGCTTTATTTTATGTTTAACATTCAAACTCTGTAGTTTTTTCCATACCTTGGCTTCCCCTCTCCCGTGACTGGGCTCTTCCTCCCTTCAAGCACGTTGTTTTATCATTATCTGCCCGTATTTTTGCCATGCGGTATCCGGAATTCGCTGAATATGCTCCCATCTTGTTTGCACTCCAGAAATAGCTATCTAGTCCTTCAAAGAGGCTGTGAGGTATCTGCTGGACTAAGCTCACATTCCTTTGTGGATAAAAGGTTGGCAAGTAGGTCTGTGTTCCAGTTCCTCGCAGCTCTCAGTTCCAGCACATAAACCAGGTCGCAATTTGGAGGTTTCTGGGCTTGGACCTTTCCATCATTAGAGTTTGGGACCCATCAGTAGAGTTTGGGAACATCATTTATGGCCACTACCAACTGTTTTCCTCCCTCTTTTTGCCAGTAGATCAAGCGAGCTAAGTAAGCTTTGCCAAATCTTTGGAGGCTGTTGGCTTCTTCTTCACTTCAAAAGTTAAGCTCCTGGGGAAGTATTTAGCTTTCATTACCTTGGTTACCAGCAGGTTCAAACAGGTAACGAACCTCCACAGTTGCTTAGCCACGAGAGCTGAGTTGAAGTGATGGATATCCCAGAATCCCATTCCCCCCTCCCTTTAAGATTGCACATTTCCTCCACTTCATACGGTGCATTTTGTCCTCTCCATTATTGTTTTCCCATAAAATTTTGGCTACTTGGGAGTTTACTTCTTTGCACAGGTAACCTGAACACAGAAATTGAGTAGGCTGGTATAGTTGAACCACTAACTTGATCCGGACTTCCTTTTCTACGGGCTGAGTAGCTTTCCCATTGCAGTTTTTTGTCCAATCTTTCTTTGATGTATGTAAATATCGCCTTCTTTGATCTGCCAATCACTAGAGGTAATCCAAGGTATTTCCCATCAATGACAATTCTAATTCCTAGTGTTAGAAGAATATCAGTATTCTTGTAGATAATAAATTAGTAAGGGTATTATTGTAAATAGTTGGTTAGATTTGTACTTCTATAAATACTAGTTAGTCACTCATAATACGGTGACTAGATGTTTTCCTCCTAAGATACCTGTTGACATGGTATCAGAACTAAAGTCCTAGGGTTAGGGTTAAACATCTAGCAAAGCACTGTTCACGGCGTACTGTTCACGCCGTCCTGTTCACGCGGCACTGTTCGTCTCGAGTTTTGACCCTTTTTTGGGTTTGAAGTGCTATTCGCTATGGTTGAAAGTTTATCAAAAGGTATTGTGGCGTCCACTAATATTATGCCAATGGTGATGTCTCAAATCACAAATTGGAAGTTGAATGACACCAATTATCAACAGTGGTAAAAAACTGTTAAGATTTATCTCATAAGCTTTGGAAAACAACGTTATCTCACAGATAATTCAGCAAGAAACTAATGTGGATTCAAGAGGATGCCCAAATTCTTGGAGCAATATGGAATTCTATGGAGTCACGAATTGCTTACATGTGTTCTTATTGTAAGACAACAAAAGAAGTTTGGAATTATGTCCGGTTATTATATTTAGGGGTGTTTCGTGAATCGAGCCGCTCGCGAGCCGATCGCGAGCGGCTCGAATACGAGCTCGACTCGAACTCGTCAATATCGAGTTCGAGTCGAGCTCGAGCTAATTAAGTCGATCTCGAGCTCGAGATAAAAAACATTAATCTCGTTGGCTCGCGAGCGGCTCGCGAGTTCAATTATATATATATTTTTTATTTTTTATTTTTTATTTTAATAGTAAAATTACATATATATCCCTAATATTTTATTATTTATTAAAAAAATTATTATTTTATTTATTTTTAAAAATAAATAATTATTTTTTATTTTTTAAAAATAAAATAATAATAATTAATTTTTTATTTTTTAAACTCGAGCTCGAGCTCGAGCTTGACTCGAATTTGACTCGAGATCGATATTTTGAGCTCGAGCTTGACTCGAATTTGACTCGAGATCGAGCTCGAGCTCGATATTTTGAGCTCGTCGAGCTCGAGCTTCACAAAATTAACTCGAACTCGTCGAGTTCGAGCTTCACAAAATTAACTCGAGCTCGGCTCGATTAGCCAAAGTTCGGCTCGAGCTCGACTCATTTACACCCCTAATTATATTGCAGTAATCTCTCACGGATGTATGATATTTCTTTGAAGTATTTTCAGTTACAACAAAATGACAAGACAGTAACTTAATACTTTGCTGATTTTAAGTGAGTCTCAGAAGAATTAAATGCTATAATGCCTCTCTCAAGTGATATTACGGTTATGCAGAGGCAAAGAGAACAAGTGCTTGTGTTCAAATTCTTGGCTGGTCTCAAACCAGAATTTGAACTAATCAAATCTCAAATTCTAACAGGTGAACAATTACCATCTTTTGCAGAGGCGTATGTTCGGTGTAGACACCAAATTTTTATTTTTATTTTTAACTTTATTTTTATCATTTTTTTATTTATTTTTATTTATTAAGTTAGGTTCATCATTTTCATTTTTGTAAGATGTTTTTGCACTAAATTTATAAAAAATAAAAAAAGAGAGGGGTGGGGAAAGTCACGTGCACGCGCGCTACCTCTCTTAAGACTTGTACTAACAGGAAGCAGAAAGAGAATTTGCAACTACATTTTTTTCAGCTCTTTATCACTGCTTTTAAGGATGGCAATGGGGGCGGGTGCCCGCGGGCAACCGCCCCGCCGGGGGGGTCTCGGGGCGGGGGTGGGGGGGAATTTTTCCCCCCGTTTAGAAACGAAGCAGGGGGCGGGGGAGTATACCCCCGCCCCGCCACCAGCAAAAAAAAGTATATATATATATAATATGTAATTTAATTAGTTATAAACTTATGATAATGATATTATTAGTTAGATGTATTATATAATATATATAATATAATTGATATTTTCAATTATATGAATAATTAGACATGTCTACTAATAGAATTTATTAATTAGTTATACTAAATTTACTAATACATTTATACTAAATTTCTAATTACACTTAATAGAATAACACTTTTTTCTCAAAAAAAAGTACAAACACAATAATGAATTAGTGATTGTATTTGTACCAAAAGTAAAAACTTGACTATTTTAGTTGTATTTATTTCATCATGTTGGATTGTATTCAAATAACTTTTGTTTAATTGTTTTTATGAGTTTCAATTGTAAAATTACAATGAATAATAACTTGAAGATGTGTTGATATTTTAGTATTTGATAATTTATTAAAATTTAGCTATAATAAAATTTTATTAACCCCGCGACGACAATTTTATTAACCCCGCGGGTGCCCCCGCGAGGGAAGCGGGGTGGGGGGAGTGGGAGGCGGGGGACGGGGCGGGGGTTGGGGGGAATTAATAGGCAACGGGGCGGGGGTGGGGGAGGGGTTCCCCGCCCCAACCCCGCCCCGTTGCCATCCCTAACTGCTTTCCTTCATTTTTTTTAACCTCCGTTGGATTGCTGTAGTACAGGCTATCTTGGCCCCCACCCAGAAATGCTAAGTTCTTGTTTGTCAAGAATCATCTAACGGTTCTGAAATCAGATGAACTTAGAGTTCATCCGCATCGTCTAACCAAGGGTTGAGTGAATATAAAAGGCAAATGAGGGAGGTTTTAGAAGGGGGTCGGATGACGGCTGATGAAGCAAGAGGAGAGTGGGTAGCTGGGGCAGGAAAAAGCAAAGTAAAAGAAAAGAGCTAGGGGATCCGTGTGATGGCTGAGAGTCGGAGAGGGAAAACAGACGAGCAAGAAAGGCTACTGGAAACTAAGACAAGAAAAGTAAAAAAGAGGGAGTTTTGAGAGGGTTTCGGGGCTGAAGAAAGTAGCTACTCGATAAGTTAGGAAGGAAAAGAAAGGGCT